GCTTTGAATTGTGACTTCTCCCATGATGACCCACACAAGTCATTGCTCATGTCAGGGTCATTAACCATCAGGGGCTGTAGTAGTAAAGTCATTTCCACACACAAGAGGATTTCTGAGGATAATTTCCTCCACAGAACTGTTTGAAGTTCATTTAAAAGAATCTTTTTCCACCCTTATGCAGATTTTAACCTAAAGACTAGAGGCATCATAGAATTTGTTACCATAGTAGGCTAAAGATAGGCTTCATGCAAAGTAAAATGTGCAGCTCAAGGCCAGGATTGTAGGGTACAGCCTGTTTCTTGGCTGGCAGGGGAATCAAGAGCCTTGGTAAGACATTGTCCCCTGAAAGTCTAACACATCCCGCCGATGCCAATACCACTTTTCATTGGGTGGTGTCAAAGTGGTGGTCTTGCTGGGCATAGTGCTGCATGCCTGTAACAGCCACCTGGGAGGTCTGAGCAGGAGAATTTTAAGTTTGGGCCTGGCTGAGCTGTATTTCAAAATTTTAAAGGTTAGGGGTAGGGGTCATCTAACTCAGTGCCGAGGCCCTTGCTTCAAGCCCCAGTCCTGGTGACCTTCCCACACCTTGTGCTTCACTGTCTTAACACTGCTGAAGGGTGTATGGGTAGAGGGCTGATGTGTATAAGGGATGGTAAAGAGCAAATAAGTACCACTTTATGTTGGAAAAACTTAAAAAATAGAAAAACAGCCATTTAAAAAAATTTTATTTTTGAGATAAGCCTTGGTAAGTAGTTCTGACTAACCTCAAATTCACTATGTAGCCCATGAACTCACAGTGATCCTCCTGCTACAGCCTCCTGAGTGCTGGGATAGGCATATGCCACCCACACTTGACCTAGCAGTGAGTTTTCAGTGATGATCATCTGTAAGGGATGTTGGCAAAATCCTAAAAAGTGATTAGTTTTCATTTTTGATGGAAAATACTGCTGAAGAAGCTAGGTGTGGCCATAGGCCTGTCATTCCAGCACTCACAAGGCTGAAGCAGGAGGATCATCTAAGTTGTAGCCCAGCCTGAGTTACATAGCTCAAGGCCAGCCTGAACTATATAGTGAGCCCCTGTCTCAAAACAAAAAAACTGCTGAAGAATTAGGTCGGGTCCCCTATCAAAATTTTAAAAACACTGGAGGTGTAGCTGTAAAGATTTTGGGTTCAATCCCCAATAAGACCAAAAATTTTTTTCTTCTACTTCCAAAGCTTAGTAAATGTGTGGCAGTGTGGCTTACACCAGCTCAGCTGGTGTAAATCTGTATTTAGCAGGCCATCTTATTGTAGAGGGTGTTGAATGCCTGATACGTAAATTGCTGGAATGCAGCATTTCTGGAAGTCAGGATCTTCGTAGGCAGTTTGTAATCATCTGTGTTAAAGGGTAGATCACAGGTGAGAAATAAAATCCACAGTAATAATGTCTGTGGCTCTGTCAGAAACTTAGCTGCTAGTGAGAATCAGGTCTCTTGTTTTGGGTGCTTCTTCCATTTGCTAGTGAGCAGTCCAGGGCTGGCGCTGGTCTTCCCTGGCTGGCTCTATCACCCTGCTTGCCAAGTCACTTCCATTGTGCTGATCAGTTAAGAGCTGATGAGACTCAGAGGCATCAGAGGTAAGATGGCAGGTGAACCTGGCGAGTTTCTAAGGCAAAGACAAGGGCCAGAGGACTTGAGGCTCTTGCTTGGGTTTTGTTACAGTTTGGATCTGTAAGCATATGTGTTAAAGACTTGGCCCCCAGTGCAGCAGTATTTAGAGGTGGGGCCCTTGATGGGTGGTGGGATGATTGGATCATGAGGGCTCTGCCTTTGTGAGTGGATTCATCCATTGTAGGGTTCATATAGTTTGATGGGTTTGCAGGGAGGAGATGTTATCAAAGCAATCTCCCTCCTTGCATGTACCAATCCAGCCTCTGTCTCACTAGAGGCTTATCTCGGGCATACAATAACAAAGGTCTTGTCTTGGAGATGAAGGGTAACAGGAGCCCACCCTGGAGAAGGACTGGATTGTGGTAGAACCTGTCACATCCTCTTATCTCTCCCAGCTCACAGAAGTCTGCCTAGATCTCACTAGAGTCGCTACCATTTCTCTGCTCACTGTGCCTAATGGAAAAAAACACTTGATCTTTAGGAGGTGGTGTGGAAGGCTTTCCCTTGTCCTCTTTCCTGTTTCTTGAAGGACATTTCACACCAAGCAGATAAATAAATGGCACAGAGACTCAATGAGCCTCCAGCTCCTGCAGTAGTGGGAAAGCTATGGAGCCCTTTAAGAGTTGGACCGCAGTGCCTAATACACTTGTGTCTAGCTCAGACGCAAACGAGATTGGAGTTTATTTGGGCAAAATTGGGCTCTAGCTCAGAGCAGGGATGGAACGAGGAATCAAATCTGATAATGTCTAGTCATATTTACCCAACCGTGCATTTTCCTACCACATGTTCAACATTTTGAAATTCAAATCACATTTATACCTTGGACATTGTAAGAAGACTATTTTTATCCCTGCAGTAATCATCTAATTTGCTGATTACAGGTCTCAAATTGCCACAGAGAACTCAATTTTTGAAAGAATTGTCCTATTTGATCAAATACGTTATTCAAGCAATGCAGTCATTTGTTCCACAAGGTTACCTGCCAGGCAGAGTTAACCAGTAGTAATAGCATTAGAAGCCTATACTTAAAATCAAGCATTAGCTAATCTGCCTGTGACAATAGAGTCTTAAATATAATTTGCGGCAGATACTTCAGTTCCTGCACTGACAGACAATTGCATTTTGTAGTCAATGAGCATAGATTTTTCCTACCTCATCCTAATTCTAAATTTAACTCCAGAAGATTCTAATGTGCTCAGTTTCACTGGCTTACCAAACACTATTTCCCAGGTGCCTCTGCCAAGAGGGCAACACTTTCCTTTATTAAATAAATACCTCACTATCCTATTCCCTTTTAAAATTATTTTCCTGATCAATGCCAATTCCAAAAGTAGCGTCTGCAGTGAGGTTCACGTCTACTGCTGGCTCTTCCCAGTTTGATGTCCCAGATGCTCTCTTACTGAGCCCCTATTGTGTGCTGGGCATCGGCAGTCCTGGGGACAAAGGCATGGAGTGTGCATGAGAGGCTCAGGTAAGCACACAGGTAGGCAGGTAAATGACTGGAAGCCCTGAACAGCTGAAGTACAACAGGTGGCCCTGGGGAGCAGAAAAAGTGCTCACAGCTGGGGTAGAGGAAGAAGATGAGACCAAAGAGGTGACAGAGACCATGTCACAAGGAGGTTTGGCACATCAAACGGGAGATGGGTGTGGCCTCCCCAGCAGCAGGAAGCTGGGTTGGTAAAGTAGAAAGAGGTCACAGTGATATGCTCATAGCCAAGGAGAGACTGAGGAAACAGGTGCAGTTATGTTTCTCCATGCCATCGAAAATGACCGTGTAGCCCATAAGGAACAAGAAGGAAAGCAAGGGAACATCTGTGAGAGCCTGCTGTATAGTTCAGTGACACAAGCACCTGCCTAGCAAGTGCAAGGTCCCAAGTTCGATTCCCAGCATAAAAAACAAAGAGCCAGTGTGCCAACACAAAATGGCCCACCTGAGATTCTCTTCTGAGAATCTCTGAGATTCACACCTTCTCTTCGGAGAGTCACACCTGGGTGCACTCCACCTTAAACCTTGCCCTTTGCAGGGGTCCAGCCTGTCTCTGGCCCACATTGATGTCATTTCTTCAGTGAGCTAGGACCCAGCTCTGCCACTTTAACTTCTCCAAGCACACTGTCCTCTTCTGTGAAATGGTGACTAAGGATGAAAATACTATTTACCCCATGGAATGCAGGGAGGAAGCGGGACAGTGCATTGATGCTGTTTGGCCCAGGGCTTGAGACAGGAAAAAGAAAGAAGAAAACACAGTCACTGTCCCTGTTGTGGCCACCCCTGAATCCAGTGGTGTTACTATGATTCAAACTCCTGTGTGGGGTTCAGAATTGAGGGCAAGTCCTCACCCTGTGGTCAGATTCTCAGAGGATGAGGCTAAGGGAAGCTTCTTGTGTGCTCTGCTTGGTCCAGCCGAAAGCAGAGGGAAGCCCGGAGACACTTAGCTGTTGGCTCTGATGCACCCTTGGTCTCCACTCCTCCCAACTGCACCCTCTTCTCCAGCAGAAGCACCATCTCCTTGTCCCCTTCATGAGCAGCCCCCTTGAAAGCATCATCTATAACTGCTCTCACTCCCTCCACAGCACCTTCTAGCTGGGCTTCTGCCCTCGCCAAAGCCACCTATGACCTCTGCTATTGTTTGTATTTGGAAGGTTCTGCAAAGGCCATGTGTTCAAGGCCTGATCTTCAACCTGGCACCGTCGAGATGGCGGAAGCTTTAAGAGGTGGGCCCTGGAGGGAGGGTTTAAGTCACGGTGTAGGCCCTTGAAGAGGCCAGGGGAACATGAGTCCTTTCCTCTTCTCTTTCACTACATTATCATCAGCGGAGCAACTCTGCTCCACCACACACTTCCGCCACTCACTGGAGGTGGAAAATCCCGTCCCTGAGCAAGCTCACCACTCGGAAGCCCTCACCACCTCCCCTGAGTCTCCCTAACCTCTACATCATATTCCTACCCCAGGCTTCTCTGGCTTTGTACCTGCATGCACACAGCAGAAGAGTCTTCCACCTTCCGTCTCTCCCCTACAGCATACACTCTTCCATCTTTTCTTGTTAATACCAGCCTGAAAATGGGAAGTTCTTGCAGCACGATACACACAGGAGAACTATTCAACTCACAGGTCATCAGAGAAATGGAAACCAAAATAATGAGATCTGGTCATGCCCTCCCATCAGGGTGTAGGGGACAGTACAAAAGGATCCCTGTGGATCCACTACCCAGGTTTGCCAAATTGGCTTCCTACCATTTGCTTTTAAGGAATATACCATGAAAACCAAATCGAAGGCCCACAGGTGTCCCTTCCCAAGCTCATGGTCCTTAATTGCTCTTCAGAAGAAAATGATTATGCATAATTTCCATGTCTAGTCTTCAATTTTTTTATTATTTAATCTGGTTCTGTAAGCAATAAATAGAATTACAGCAAACATTGGTCTGGGTGTTAAAAAATTACACAAATCTGGATCTTACATATCATAATGGCACTTGCTACTTTCTTTTATTTTTATTTTTAACTTTTGGGAGGTTTTGAGATAGGAACTTGCTATGTAGTAAGGCTGGCTTTGAACTCACTATGTAACCCAGGTTGACCTCAAACTGGTGACAGTTCTCCTGCCTGAGCCTTCTTAGAGCTGGGGTTAGAGGCATATGCCAACCACACCTGGCCATAGTTATTTGCTTTTTACACTATTTTCACTATTCACCTATGTTATACTTGTATGGCGGTGTTCATTCATACTTAATGGTGGTAGATGGCTGCCTCGTGAGAACAGGCCATGACACACATACTCCCCCTCAGCCTGATGTGCTAGGAGACTTTCTTTTCCTTTACCATCACAAATGGTGCTGTGGCTGATATCTTGTGCATGTGTGCACCAATCTGGTGCATTCCTCTAGAGTACACTCTGGGTGAGGAAGGAATGGCTGGGTTAGAGGGCATGTGCTTTGCATCCTTCTCCAAATTACGCCAATTTACACTCCCAGCTGGGGAGGGCGTGTTCCCAACCTCCCACATTTCTTCCTACACTTGGTATTGTCAACTTTTCTTCCCATTAAAATAACTATTTTAAAAAAATTTATTGGTTTTACTCTAGTTATGAATGTAAAGCTTGTTAGTTATAATAAACTAGAATACTACAACTGTGTGCAACATAGAAAGAGAAAATCCCCCGAAGATGCCATTTTTAACAGTGTTGGTATTAAAATAGGGCACCTTACTGCAAAGTTGTTCCCTGCACATGCTGGCATATGAATAAATGAACATATTTACTGTTTTTCTACAGGGATGTTTAATCCAGTTGAATCACCTGTAAGTGGTTTAAAATGCACATGCAATAGACAGGTTTGGTGGCAGGTACCTGCAGTCCTCATTGTTAATGAGGCTGAGGCAGGAGGCTTGAGCTCAGATATTCAAGGTCAGCTTTGACAAGTGAGGCTCTGTCTCAAAAATAAAATAAGTGCATACAAAAGTCATTCTCTTTGCGTTCTTATTGCTTAGTAATTATCTGCCAATTTACCTGACACAAAATAGGTGTTCATTAAATATTTGCTCTGTGTACAAATAGAAGGGTTGATTCTTACATAGTCTCTTTCATTATGCTTCTTACTTTTTCATGCCCAGAAGAATACAAATTATCTTCTACTTGCAAAGCACCAAAAGTAAGACATTGAAAGAGATGAAGCAAGTCCTGATTCTGGCCCTTTCCAGAGCAAAAGAATTGCACATCAGTGAATTCCAGTTCCTGGCAGGAAGTACTCCATCACAGTATGAGAAAGCAGCTGGAACAGATCTTCTCTATTTTTGAAACAGGGTCTCCCTATGTTGCCTAGGCTGGCTTTGAACTCAAGATCTTCCTGCCTCAGCTTCCCAAGTGCTGGGATTCTACCTATGCATGATCATACCTGACTCATTCCTTTTAAGAAAAACCAAAAAGTCCAGTGCTCATATATTCTAACAGTCACAGCTTGAGCCATTCAGAAAAGGCTCTGCATGCTTCTTGCTGTGTACCTAACCAAAGGCTCTCTTGATGTAGACAAACAATCAACATTCAGTCTGTGTCTGATGGTGACTTGATCTGACTTGGCCTGATGGTGACTCGGTACTTCCCAGATGTCCCATACTTTCTATTCATCCTCCAGACTCTGGGAATTCACATAACAATCAGGCTAAAGCACAGGGTACAACACATCAGAGCCTGAGAGCCAGGTAGGTGTGCGATAGAATCATGTCATGTTTATGATGCCAAGAGCTTTTCCATCCCCTTTAAGCCAACACTTACAGCCCACTCAGATATGGCTCCCAGCTCTGCAGAGCATGCAGCCTGCACTTGCCAGAGCCCTCTTCATTCCTTACCATGAGTCACCATGTGTGGTCTCGCATTGCTGTTCATCTTCCACACACCTGGCACGTCTTCTTGGAGTAGACAGATTTCTTGTATCTGTGACCTTCAAATGGGAGAAAACAGTATAGGTCAAAACAGAAGAGTACTTCAAGAAAAATGGCAAAGAGAGCCTAATTCTCTCCAGACACTCAGGCTAATTGACCATGGGTAATATTCAGCACAAAATATCTCATCATCCAAAGACATGTTCTTTTACCTGCCTCTGTCCCAAGGACTCGGAATTTGCTATGCTTGGGTATATGCAAGAGACTCAGTTTTAACACCATTCAGCTTGTTGCTTACTTGCTTTGGAGCCTCAGTTTCCTCAGAAGTCCAGGCAGGCTGCCAGTAGTCCAGGTCAGAGGCAAGGAAGCCACAGCACAATCTCCCAGCATGCACCAGGAATTGAGCCCAGCCTCTCAGAGTTGACACGTTGCTTTCTTTTTCTCCTCAAGCTCTTGTCCTCCTGATAATGACAAAACTGGTTTGGGTGTTCTCAGGTTTGCAATCACATTCAGGAAACTCCTCCTCAACTTCCTTTTATGCAAAGACAGTTTCATTTCTCTAGATGTCAGGCTGGGTAGGAGGTGAGGGTAAGTGTGCAGGAAGCAAGGTAGAAATCAAGCTGCTAAGCAAGTGAACCTCACCCTCCCCTGGCTCTCTTGGCTTCCAGGATATCTGAAAGGTGACTTCTGACCCTTAGTCCACCTAAGGCTTGTCAAGGCCAGAGGGGGGCAGGTAAGGTTCCAGGGTGGCTGCCTGAAAATGGTCCCCCCACACCTACTGCAGACGGGGGATTGGAAGGTACCTAGATGCCCTGCAGGGGCTCTGATGAACAACACTGGGTGGAAGGGACCTCGGGCCTCCCTCAGAATCCTTCCAGCATGGAGCAGGCTGGTGGCTCCTGGAGAGTACCGAGCACTGCCTCGTTAGAAAACCTTCTCTTAATTCTGCCCCTGTGATGTGGATGGAGAAAACTGAGGCACAGGAAGATAAATCATGGTTGGAAAAGATGGATCTCCAGATCCTGGGGGTGATTTCTGGACACTGTGCATTTCATCAGTGTCCATGGCTGCTGTAAGGGGTGGCTCATCTGCAGAGAAGACAGATGCAGACGTCAATAAGGAATTCATGGAAGCACAAAAGGCGGGTAGGGTGGGGCTTATTAATTATATTTCTTTTATCTTCATAACAATGGTGTGTCATAATCGACACTGAATGTGCCCAATGGATGCTAATGATTTCATCCTTTTGTTTCTATTGGAAACAAAAAACAAAGTCTGTCTGCCCAAGCCAGGCCACCCCAGCATGAGCCTGGAGCCCAGCACCTGAGCCTCTCTGCCTGTTATTTTTGAACCCTCACTCTCTCTCATGATATGAATGACAGTCTTGCCTGGCAGTGCCTGCTCACCAATCCTCCAGCCTTCCCCTTCATCCCACTTTGCTATGAGCTCACACAGATACTCTGACATTGGAATTGAGCCCTTTTTCTTTTTCTTTCTTTTTTTTGGTCTTTTGGAGACAGGGTTTAACTGTGTAATTCAGGCTGGCCTTGAATTCACTCTGTAGCCCAGGCTGGCCTAGAATTTGCAGCGATCCTCCTGTCTCAGCCTCCTGAGTGCTGGGATTACAGGCATGCACCAGGACACCTGGCTGAGCCTTTCTTTGAGTACAACGACAGAATGTGTGGGTGTATGTGTGTGAATGAGTGTGTTTGCCCAGTACTTCTCAGCTGGAGACCCCTCAAACCCCATCTTTACTTAAGGGTTCTTTTTGAAGAAAGAAAAAGAAAGAATAAGTTATGAGTTACTTTCTTTTTTCAACTGTACCAACTGTTAAACTGCATTACTTGCAGTAAAGAAAAAGATATGTCTGTTGAGGGGCATGACAATAATCAGAAGGATCACAAACCATTTGCCCACCTCTGTCATCAGCCCAGTATGCAGCCCAGTATGCTGGACCAGTTATCTGAAATGGCACCAAAGTGTTTCACCACTGACATATGCCTCCTGGCCTTCTCTTCCCTGCCTTCTCCCAGATGCCACCCAGTGCAGAGGCAGTTGCACATCTGGCCCAGAAAAGAACATCCTGCCAATGTCCAGTGCTTCCTTCTATGGATGAGAGACAAAATGTGCACATCTGCCATCTATGTCATTACTTGGATGCAAGCTTCACTAGCGTGTGAGGAGCAGGGAGGTGAGGCACAGACAGTGAATAGCTGTTAAATGACAGATCTATGTAGGACTCTTACCCAGATGACTCCAGAACAAGACTGGATGAACTGTCCTAGTCCCTTTGTGCAACATGCCTCTTCCCCTCCAGGAAGTTCCCATTTGTGAGAAGATCCTAGAAGGAAGCTTCAATTTAGCCACCCTCTCCCTGCAGCTCAGCTGGAGGAGCTGTGGAATTTCACTGCAGGGGACTGGAGAGTGACCTGCCATTGAAAATGGGGCCTGGACACAGCTTGAGGAGGGGTCTGTGACTAACTGAGGCGGAGTTTGGAAGGGACTTATAGCCACAGTAGAGGGTCTCACACCTATCCTCACCCCCATGTCTGGCACCAAAGACCTCTGCTCTCACTGGACTTTGGATCTCTAGGGGGCCAATTTGGGCAGCTGGGGGGCCGGGACCTTCCTGGCATTTTGGGTAGCCAATACTCTGATGGAAGTTTCCACCCTTACCCCAAACAGCTGCTGGTCACCCACATTTCTCTGCTGCCATAATAATATCAGCACTGCCGCCCCAGCTCTTGAAAACATGCTCAGTATGACAGTCTGCAAAGTGATCTTGCATTTAAATTTCATCCACAAATCCTGGTTTCCTCCAGACAAGTGCAAACCTGCACAGATGGCCCCTCACACCAAAAAGTAAAAATAACAAAGCTTGCGATTCTGGGCCTCCCTTTTTCTCTGGGCAGATGTGCCGGCTGCACATTTCGGGAGGCACACCGTCTGCAGCCCAGCAGCCGCCTCTCTCCTCCTGTGCATCCTGGGGAGCAGCTGTGGCCCTTCAGGGTGTATTCTTGGAAGCACTGAGTGCCTGAGCCCTAGAAAAGAGGCTGGGGCATCCAGAAGTGTACATTAGTGTTTACCTGAATCCCTAAGACTGGCCATGTTGTCATCCATACAATACTCAGGGAAGGGGCTGAATGTTTGTGGATCAGTGGAAGAGGAGGGCAAGGGGCTGCCATGATACAGGTCAGTACAAACCAAGTGGAGGTGTCAGCATAGGAGAGGTGGGAATCCCAACTTTTTGAACCCTGTGAACCCCAACAAGCCTCAGATGCCTTCAGGATTTGTGAACTCTTTCCACAAACACTGGCTGAGATGCTCCATTCCATGGCCTAGGGATATTGCTATACAAAAGAAAGACCCAGAAAGCAGATGTCTAGAAAACACAGTCAAGACCACCAGTGACTTGTGGCCAGGAGGCCGGGTGGCAGTAACCCCAGTTAGAGACATCCCAAGAGGTTGACTTGCAGGCCAGTTCCACCTCAGATGAGCCATATGACCTGGTGCCTCAGGTCTCATTTAGAAATGATGGCTACTGTCTCTACTTAACCAGAAGCTGAGATGAGATAAAGCATAGCTGTAAGTAAAGCACAATTTAAACTGCCAGGAGAAAAAGGGAATTCATGGATACAAACAAATTTAGGGATTCCAGAAAAACAGCCAGGGGCACACGTAGCCTCAGGCATGGCTGGATCCTGGAGTTTACGAGCTGTCCTCAGGAATCTGGCTCTCCCCCTTGCTCCACTCCGCTTTGTTCTGTGCTGACTTCATTCTTCATGAGGTATTTGCCAGTATCTCCAGGCCGACATTCCTACCAGTAAGTACCTCCTTCCCAGATCCTCTAGCAAAAGTCCTGAGGATAACGCTCATTGGCCCAGCCAGGGTCGCTAATCAGTGTGGCCAGAGGAATGCAGAGCTCCGACTGGCCAGGCATCCTGCATGTGTCAGTCTCTGGGGCAGAGTTGGAGTCAGCCTATGTGAACTACCTGGCTCCACAGAAAGGGGGAAGGGATGCTGGTTTGGCAAAAGCACAAATACAGAAACAAACAACAAAGACCCTCCTAAATAATGAGTGACAGCAGAGATGTGAGTGTGCTCAGGAACAGCTGCAAACATCCTGCTTCCAGCAGGAGGATTCTGCTCCCTGCAGTTGTGTGGCCACTGTCATTCATCCCCTCAGGATTCCTCATTCCCCAGTGCTGCTCTCTGTGCCAGGCATGGGATCAGGGAAGGTTCTGGGCATCCCAGTGGGGAAGCCTGCCCACCAGCTGGCCTCAGGGAAGAGACTGTGCACAGTTGAGGTCTGTGTGATGCCCCAAGTCCCCAAAGTTTCCTTTCTATTGTGTCCTAGGCTTTCCATGTTCCTCTTCCTCAGAAGTCATAGATCCCCAATGTAACCTGGAGGAGAGGAACAGAGACCAGAGGGTGCTCACTAGCTAAGGTCCAGGTGGGGGCTTCTGCACCAAGAAACCCACACAGGGTAGACTCGCCCTCTGGGTAGAGTAAAGGTGCCAAGCCCAGTGTCCTGGAGTTTTGTACAAAGGCCTAGTACTAAGGGGGCCAGACACTGTGGTGCGTGGGAAGACAAAGAAAGGAGAACCATCAGAGAGGGACATGCTGAGGCTGGCCAGTGGGTAAGTGGACTGGGAGGAGGCAAACGGGGTTCAGCTCCTGAGCTGCCACATAGTTCTATGTCAGAGTTTTGATGTGTCCACATGAGTCACCAAAGGAACCTGAATGGAAACTTCCATAAATTAAACCTCGAGGGAAAAACTGGGATCAATCAGCCAGCAGGAAAGCACATAGTTCCCAGCCACCTGGGGCTTCTCCCCAGCAGTGAGCAGGGCACTGTCATCCATCTTGGCAACTGTTTATTCATTTAATCCTCCCAGGGTCCTACAGGTGGGTCTACTAGGGACCCATTTAAGAGAAGGGGAAACTGAGAAACGAAGAGATTCAGCATGTGCCCAAGGCCATTCATGTGACCTGAGTTTAGGGTTATACCACATTTACAGAAAGCCTCAGCTTGGCTAATGTGACGGCCTATTGACACCAGCTCTCGGGTCCCCAAAACCCAATCTAGGGCAGAGGAGCCAGCTATCAGCCTCCAGGGATTGCAGACCCCAAGGAAGGCCCTAGCTCCATAAGCCTGGAAAAGGTGCCAATTACTGCTCTGGAGTCCGGCAGATGGTATTCCACCTGGAACACGTTTTCCCTAAGCCAGAGCTCTCCTGCCCTGCTCTCCCCGCCCCCCACCAGGTTGGGCTGACAGCTTGACTCTGCCCAAAGCCTGGCCACCTCGGTGTGCGGCGCCTCCCCGCGGCAACAGCAGGTGCAGGAGAGGAAAGACAGGAAAGAGGAGGAGGAGCAGAAGGAAGAGAGGGCGGAGGAGGCAGGAAGGGGACGAGAAGGAAGAAAGGCCTGCTTGGGCAGCAGTCAGCTGGGGAACAGGAGCTCCCGAGTGTTCTAGGCGTCTTCCCTGCAGAGGCGCTGCACTCTGGCTCCAGGAGAGGACCGGGGTCCTGGGGAGCTGTGGGTGCAGGGGGAGGCAGGGCCAGAGGTCCGGGCAGGCTCCATCCTTGCCACACCCAGGCGGCAGCTATCGCGACGGTTTGGCGAGCGCCGCCTCTAAGCAGGCACCGCCTCTGCCATCGCAGGGCACCAACGGGGATCTGGCATCTCGAGCGTCCCAGACCGCACTCAGCTCCGAGAGGCTGACTCTTGGGCCCAGCGGCGGTCAGAAAGTCTAAGCCACCGCCCGAGCGCGGAGGAGCCGGCGGCCCGAGGTAGGAGCTGGGTTGCGCCGCTTTCTAGCCACGTGGCTTTGGCAAGTCCGTTCACCCCATCTGTAAAATGGGAGAGCGCTCGCCTCGCGGGTTATCACATGCTTATCACGGTGTCTACAACAGTCCGGGCCCGGCGGGGCCAACGTCGGGGTCAGCCTCAGCTATTATGGATCCCGCGTAATCGGGTAACCAACGTTCAGACCAAGCATCCTCAGCCCCAGCTCAGCTGGCTGCCTGAGGCCTCCTGGGTAGCGCGCCCTCTACCGCCGCCGGCCCCGCCCTCCCGGCGCCGGCTGCGCTCCACGTGCTGCGTGTTTACCCATGTGACAAGCCCTGCCCTCTGGCCACGCCCACACAGCTCCGCCCACATCCCCGCCCCGCCCCGGCCGCGGCTGCGCATCTGCCACTTGGCCTGGCGGCTGCACGGCCCCACTATACTTACTATACGGATAGCGGCCTCGCCCGCCCGGGGTAGTGAAGCAAGGTCCTTACTCCTGGGCAAGGTGGAGATTTCAGGCGCTCTGCTGGGCCGCGCTTGGACGGCTCAGCACAGACCCCGGCAATCCATGGGGACTCCGTTAGTTTAGCACCGCGGAGGGCGGGGCCGGGCGGCAGGGGCGGAGCTAGGTGGGGGCTTGGGGAGCGCGCTCCACTGTCGGGCGGGGCCTGAGGTGTTGTGGGCGGGTGAGGTGTTGTCCTGAGTTGGCGTGCGCGTGGGCAAGTGTGCGCAGGCGCTTTGGTCTTCTCCGCTGACAGGTTGATCTGGGGAGGCGCAGAGGGCAAGTGCGGCGCTTGCCAGGTTTTCTTCCTGCCTTGAGTAGATTGAAGCCTATAAAACTCTAAGAGCGCGTTAACTTTCATATTGTGCTGAACCTTACAGTCTTGGATTTCTTCGCGCTCGCCCTTCCTGCTGTTTCACCTCCGCTCCTACTGAATCGAGGTGACCCAGGCCGCAGCCACCTGTTAGGGCTTTTGGGCCGTCTTGTCCATCCCCTCATCTGTATGCGAGTAATCCTGATAGTTCTAACAGTAGCAGGCCAATTCACGAGTATGCCAGGCAGTTTCTAAATGTTTTTAGACCATCAGGTGATATAATTTGGACTCTTTCCATCTAAATCATTGTCCCCCCGATGCAGACCCGCTGCTCTGACCTCCAGAGTGTTCTATCCATATCACTGCTAGTCCCCTCGACGGGTGTTCCCTAGCCCTTCATAGCCAGTGTGGGTGAAGTGAAATCTATTTTCCTCTCCTAAAATCTGTTTATCCCTGTTTATCTCTTTAGTGGATGATATCGCCATTGCCCAGCCAAGCAGTCACGCCACCAGACACAAAACACTTGTGGAATCCTGTCACCCCAACCCCCGCCAGCTCTCTTACCTCCATGGTCCGATATCATGCTTCAAACATCGTGATTTACCTGGACGCATAGACGATCTTATTCTGCCTGTCGTCGAACTTTCAATCCAGCGTCGTAGACACCTGCAGAGATTTTCTCAAAGATTAGAAGATTTCTAAATGATTGCATTGATCTTCCATAAACACTAGGCTAAAACTCCAGCGTCTTCATCCTTATAAAAGAAAGAAATAAAGGATGCCCCCCTGGCTCTGTCTCTCTTCGGGGGTTTGTTTCTAGGACTCTCATAATTACAAGGATGCTCAAATATCTTATAGAAAAGGGCATAATGTTTGCACAACCTAGTCCTGTATATTTTATCACCTCTAGAGTGCTTATAATACATAATACCATCTAAATGCTATATAAACATTTATTGTATTGTATTGTTTAGGAAATAATGACAAGAAAAATGTCCACATGTTCAATGCCTGTACATATTTTTTCCTGTATACTTTTGATCTGTAGTTGGTTAAATCCCTGGATGTGAACCTGTGTATATGGAGCACTGATGACTCTGAAAATCCTAGGCTAGGAGTTTAGCTCATCGGGACAAGCGCCTGCCGGGGAGGTGAGTTTGATCCCCAGTACAAAAAAAAAAAAAAAAAAAAAAAAATCCTAGGAAATGCAATAAAGTGAGAAGACTGAGCCGTGTAAGGAGTGGGGCAAAACTCCAACATCGTTATTGTCCACAGTCATCAACACAGAGGAGAGATTAATACACAAATTAGTAAGAGAGTTGAGCAAAGTAGTTTGTTGAAAAGTAAAATATAAGCCAGCTGTGCTAGTGCATGCCTGTAATCCTAGAAGTATGAGAGGTTGAGGGAGTAGGATTGCAAGTTCATTCCCAACCTAGACAATGAAACAACTTAGTGAGACCCTGTCTCAAAACAAAAATAAAAAAGGACTAGGGATATAGCTCATTGTGAAAGCCCTTGGTTCCATTCCCAATGCCACCAAGAAAAAAACTGTTAATAATGGTTCCTCTGCAATACTATTACATTTCCTGAGAATGTTATTAAAACAACATGTCCTGCATAATATTCGAGTATTTATGCATTAAATGAATAAAAATGCACGAGATCTTAAAACAATTTAAAACTTCATTGTTTAGATTTTTGATAAAAGAACTGAATGCATAAATAATGGGATAATGTCTTTATCTTGAAAGAATATAAATTTTCCAAAGATCAAATGATCTTTGTATTAAATGAAATTCCTGTAAAAATTCTAAGCCCAATTTGTATTGGAGCTTGACAAACTGATTATACAGTGTTTATGGAAGAATAAACATCCATAGTATGCTGAGAAAATGTTGAGAACTTTTTTTTGTTACTGGGAATTGAACTCAGGATCCTCCTCTTGCCAGACAGGCACTGTGCCACTGAGCTACATCCCTGGCCTGGCCTGTAATGTTGAAAATGAAGGGATAGTCTTACTCTACACAAATTACACAGTCCTCAGCATTCAAATAATGTAGTATTGGCACAGAAACAAATAGGCAATGAGGGTAGTAACTTTTTCTAATGGAGAAGAATACAATTGGATTCCTACTTAATTCCATATACATAAACTGCAAATAGATTAAATATCTTTTTTTTTGGCGGTGGAATTGAGACAGGGTCTCACTATGTACATCAGGCTGACCTTGAAATCACTATGTATCCTAGGTCAACCTTGAACTCATAGCAGTTCTCCTGGCTCAGCCTCCCAGATTCTCTGATTATAGGCATATACCACCATCCCCACTAAGTAATTGTTCAAGGTAAAAGTATAAAACCGATAATTTACATGTATGATAATATTTCTGTGATAGGAGATGACTTCTCATGACTTTCAAAGTGCAGTACACAAGATGAGAAGTGGTGGATTTTGACTACACCAAAATGAAGTGCTTTACTGCAAACAGAATTAACAAATGAGTGATATGCTGAGAGAAGATAGTCTCATTAGTCAACAAAAGGCTATAGCTAGTATAACCAAGGAACCCTCAAAAACAGGCACAAAAAAGAAACAAAGGAAATTATTAAAAAATTAATAAGCAAGCTGGGTGCAGTGGCACACACCTGTAATTCCAGCATTTGGGAAGCTGAGGCAGGAAGATCACTGTGAGTTCAAGGCCAACCTAGGCTACATAGTGAATTTAAAGCCAAGCTGAACTGCATAGCAAGACTCTGTCTCAAAACAAACAAACGAAAAATAATGGACAAAAGATGCATACAGTAGGCTATGTATAAAAAGAGAAGTCAGAATGGCAAACGTGTGAAGAGAGGTTCATCTTTGTTGTTGGTTAAAGAGTCTTTCATCCGATTTATGGATTTATAGTATTCTCTCTCAATCTGTAACCTGCTAATTCTTTTTTATTAACAATAATGTTTTTAGTTTTAATTTTATGAGATCCAAATTTATTATTTTTAATGATTGATGCTTTTTGAGACCGATTTTTAAAATTTTTGCCTATTCCAAGATCACCTATATTTTTTCTAGTAATTTTAGTCTTTTCATTTAGGTCTATGAAATATTTTAAATTTTTTATGGTTCAAAATAAGAGTCAAGCCAGGCATGGTGGCCCATGCCTGCAATCTCAGCACTTGGGAGGGTGAGGCAGGAGGATCGTTGTGAATTAGAAATCAGCCTTTGCTGCAAAAGGACCTCAAGTCCAGCCTAAACTGCATAGTGAGAACCTAGATTCTAGTTCATTCTTTCTTTCTTCCATCCTTTTTTTTTTTTTTGTACTAGGAATTGGATGCAGGACCTTGTATTTGCCAGGCAGGCACTGTGCCACTGAGCTACATCCCCAGGCCTCTCTTTTTTTGTTTATTTGTTTTATGGGTTTTTTTTAGCCAGGGTCTCACTCTGTAGACCAAGCTGGCCTTGAATTTGTGTCGATCCTCCAATCGCAGCCTCATTACAGGCATGTGCCACCACACCTGGATAGTTCTACATTATAAAGTCTATAGCATAGTGTTATTAGTTTTACCTTTGTTACTTTAAAGTTTTTTAAACTAAAAACTTTTTTGCAATTACCTACATATTTACCAATTTTTTGCTGTTTCAGTTTCTATTTGTTAATTTTTTCTTCAGTTGAGTGGCTTTCTTTGATGCTTCTTATAGTGTGAGTGTGTTGGTAATGCATTCTCTCCGCTTTTGTCTCAAAAAATCTTTACCTCCATTTTTTTTTTTTTTTTGTCTTTTTCGTTTTTACTGGTACTGGGGATCGAACTCATGACTGCCTGCTTGCAAGGCAGGTGCTTATGCTGCTGAGCTAAATCCCTAGCCCCATTTTGTTGTTTTTTTGTTTTTAGTTTTTTTGAGACAGGGTCTCACTGGGAAGCACAGGCTGCTCTTGAATGCTTATATAACCTAGGCTAGCCTTGAACTCACAGGATTCCTCCTGCCTCAGCCTCCTGAGTGCTGGGACTACAGGCATGGCCACTATACCCTATTTTGTCTCCATTTTTGAAAGATCCTTTTGCTAGGTATAGAGTTCTAGGTGACCAGCTATATTTTTTCTCTCGTTTTAGACATGCTGTTCTACTGTCTTTTGAGATGCAGTGTTTTGGACAAAAAGTCTATGCTTATTCCTAGTTTTGCTTTTCTGTAGGTACTGTGTACTTTGTCTGGTTGCTTAAAGATGTTCTACTTATTTCTACTCTGTAACTAAAGTGGCTTCCGGCCCCTTACTCATTTTTGTCTGACCTTGTAGGGTTTCACCCTGGGCAGGCAGAGCCTAGTTCTCACTGACACACTTACGGGGCCTCTGAGCAGATTTTTCTCTGTGCAGTTCCTTCCTCTCTGGTTCTCTGTCTTGCAAGGTCCAGCTGTTCTGCCTTCCTGCACCCTGATCTTTCCCCTTTAGCTCAGCGTGTCTACTGTTTTCTTCTTGGAGGCCTTGCATTATATTTTGGAAAGTGCTTTCAGGAAGAAAATCTAATGTTGGTAGGGCTCACCATTTCTACTACCCTTCTCTTGGGAATGAGTCCTTTGATGCCTGTTGTCTAATATATGGAAAGATTGTTTTTATGTTTGTCCAGATTTCTGTCAGTGGTAACTTCACTATGGATGGGAATAAGAGATTCAAGATGATATTTTCAAGTATAATTTTATAAAAACCAATCCAAAATCCTAACAAAGCTCTTGGATAAGACCTACATTTTCCTAGACTCACAGGCTATAATGAGATTCAAAGAAGATTCAAAAGTTTCCCACATCAGCGTGGCATGGTCGCAGTAGAGTAGACATGGTTGTGTATAGTGCTGGTGAAACTATTTTGGTTGCTCGTGTGTGTGTGTGTGTGTGTGTGTGTGTGTGTGTGTGTGGTGCTGGGGACTGAACTCAGGGCCTCGTGTGTGCAATGCAAGAACTCTTACCACTGAGCCACCTCCCCAGCCCTCTGGTTGCTTCTTTGGCCTCAGGTTTTCCGGACAGCAGTCAAATGTGCCTGAAAGATGGAACAGATATTCCTCCAGACAGGAGTTGTAGACCTCAGAGGGCCTCTTATCCTACAGCAGGAGGGTGAAGAGGGGACAGTATGGTCTCAAAATTCCCACCCAGATGGAGAAAGGACTTTTTAGGAAGCTGAAACTTGTGAATGTTTCAGCTATAACCAATAGATTTCCACTAGGAGGGTGGCATCATTTTAAAATTTTCTATAGTTTCTATTTCTCCGCGGAGAATATTATCTTGTTTATTTATTTCTTTGGTACTGGGGATCGAACTCATGACTTCATGCTTGTCAAGCAGTTGCCATGCCACTGAACTATATCCCCGGCCTCTTTTTATTTATAACAATCAAATTTTCCTTTACATTCATATGCGTGCTTATTATGTATGTTGAGTGTGCCTCATTTGGAAATCTGAAATCTGAAATATTTTGAGCACGGACATGAGGCCACAAGTGGGAAATCCTACACTACTCTGATCTCAAAACACAGGCACACGAAAAATACTGTGCACAATTACTGTCAGCCTATTTGTATATGAATCATAAATGCATTTTGTGTCCAGACTTAGGTTTTATCACCATGTACCTCATTATGTATATACAAGTGATTCAGAATTTTAAAAAGAATTAAAACATCTAGGCTGAGTATGGTGGCATGTAATCCATAATCCTGGCACTCAGGAGGCTGAGGCAGGAAGATCACTGCAAGTCTGAGGCCACCCTGGGCTACATAGTGAGGTCATAGTCTGGACTCCACAGCAAGACTCTGTCTCGAAACAACAACAGCAAC